TTGTCTGCATTTCAGCTGCTTTATTTCTGCACTGTGTGTGACAGCACGCTCAGCTAAACATAACAACACTGAATATGTTTGCATTCAGGTGTCAGTTTGGCTTAAATTGAATTAGGAGGCTGAGTCACTCCCTTCCTGCCACTAGTCATAACTCCAAAAGTTGTTTTTATTTGAGACTTTTAAGTGAAAAGAGCCGAGCGTTTTAATGCAAAATGCAAGCCTCAGAGGTGAAAATAGTGGGAGTTGAATCAGTTAAGATTTTTTTTTAAATTATTATTATTTGCTTAAAAAACCCCACTGTAACACAGAGAGGTTAATGTCACTGGTGACCTCACCCACTGACACCCACTCATGAATATCAAAAAGCCTTGAGGCTTAAAAGCTTGATTTTAACTCAGTAAAGTTCAAAGTGCCATAACCCTTTGAACTCTGAAAGACGTTTAAAATGTGACAAATTTATATGACAAGCAAAAGAAAAGCAAAAGCAAAATGCATTTATGTATTCACAGACAAGTGTTACAAAGGCAATGAAATAATGGAGTAATGGATGGAAACAATACAAAATTAACAGCTAGAAAAGCGAGAACACTGGAATATCAAAGCAGGGGAGAATTTATTGGATGAGAACTGCAATAACAACAGGATATACATTCATCTGCCACTTTATTAGGTCCACCTCGCTAGTGTTTTTGCCTCCAGAAATGCCTAAATTCTTCTTGGCCTAGTTTCAACAAGCTGCTGGAAACATTTCTCAGAGACGGTGGTGTCACACAGCTTCTGCAGATTTCATATGGAAGACTATCTGTTTCACCACATAGATCTTGTGACTGTGGAGGCCATTTGAATCATTGTCATGTTCAACCAACATGAGATAATTTAAGCAGGCATCAGGAGACCAGTAGCAGCGTGAACTGCTATATAATGCAGGACTGATCCAAGCTTTTGCGTTTACACCAAATTCTGACCCAGCCATGCATTGCTGCAGTTTAGTTTTGGTGAAGCTATGTAACTTGTAATGTCAGTTTCCTGTTTTAGCCGACAGCAGTGGCACATGATGTGATCTTCAGCTGCTGTAAGATGTAGTGGTTGTGGTCTTCATAACTTGATTGTAACAAGTTGTTATTTGAGTTACCTTTGCCTTCCATTCAGGTCGATGCAGGAAGATCCTGGTATATCCTAGTATTAGTACCAGCATGCCACGTCAGTCTTTCTTGCTCATTGTGATCCCTGGTTTGAACTTCAGCAGGTCATCTTGACCATGAAAATATAGCAGTAATGAAGAATTACAAATGTTAAAAAATCAAATCAAATCTGGTACACCCATTGCCCAAAATTAAAAGTTAAGCTGACTTTTAAGCAAATCCACATGGGCAGATCTGAGGGAAGCAGACAGAGAAATTCAAAGGTCATATAACACAGTCTGAAAGGTTCGATCACCCCAGGTACTTTTGCTTTTGTTCGGGACCGTGTACTTCACCTTAATCTGCAAGATGACGATTGAATGTGAAGGAGATCGGCAAATGTGTAGAAGACAAGTCCCCTACCGAAAAAACACTATCCGTTAATGGAGTCTAATAAGAAAAAAAAATACAAAAGTTGTGTGTGATGTTTATCACTAATCAACTTTAACCTCTTAGGACCTGCCGTCCACATATGTGGACATCACATTTTAGGTTGTCCAGACCAAAATACAAAATTTTACTCTACAAGGGCCTGAGATCCACTTACGAGGACATTATACTGCCACTCTTCTATCGAAATTTTAAACAAATATCCTCATATGTGGATCTCATTTTTCTTAGAAACAGAAATCGGGTAAAAAAAAAAAAAAATCGGGTAATTCTTTGTTTTTACATTCATCAGGTCCCAATATGTCGAAATATCAAAGATAAATTAAACATGAATCCCATGAAAGAGTTCGGGTCTCAGGAGGTTAAACTAAAAGTTCAATAATATAAATAATAGTAATAAAAATGATGATTAGAACAATATTATGCACCTGGGTTCAGGGATTGTGACTGTCAGGTGTGTAATGGAAGAATGAATCTGTCTCCGAACATAAATTGGTTCTGTACTACATCTTCTAATTTGGGTTCCCGATCTCTCTCTACATGTGTCTCCTTTCTCTTTGTATTCATATTTTTCTATTGTCCTTCCTGTCTGTGCCCCTCTCTGCCTCCCCCACCACCCACTTCTTCTTCCTCTCACTGTTCTGCCTTAGCCCCCCTAACACCAATTATACTGTGTCAAATCCATACATGTCAGTTTCCAGATCCCTAATCATCCCTTCTCTCTTTCATCTGCAAATCCTTTGTTCCTCCCTCCTCCCTCTTTTCCCTTCTCTGTAACCTTTCTTCTTTGCTCCTCAGCCTATACCCCACCCCTCCGTCTGCTCCATGTACACATAGCAAATCCTCCTCATCCTTTTTCCGGTTATCTCTATCACAGTTACCTCTCCATCTTCTTTTGATTATTTATTAATTTCCCATTTAAATTTTATACACTTTTCCTTTCTCTGTAGTCTCACTCAGAGAGGAACTTTGTTGGGTACATTCGTGTGAATATCGTCTCATGTTTGAATAAGTTCCCATGTCACTTTTCATTAGAAGTCACAAAGACTTTGGTGTTTTACTGGGCAGGCTCTACTTAGCAATGTCAATTTTCTATAGATGATCTTGTTTACAATCCTGTCTATCTCCAATATTTAGAGTTAACCAAGTGGAACATGTTCATTTTCTCTTTTTTACCACATTTTACTAACGAAACTGAACTGCTAATAAGCTTCTGCATTTTATCTACCAAAGCTTTTTATAGAATAAAGATTAAAAGTGGACTCCTTTTAACATGCTGCAGCAACAGACCAAACCAAGCCAGTGGAAAAAATATGAACCCAAAAACTTTCAAGCTGCATACTTTATCTCATGATACAGTAACTTAAGCATTCTCTGTCAGAGTATGTGCTTAATATGTTAATATCCTAATTTTTTTGAGCCTATTTTGGTTTTAGCTTCAGTTTCCTGTTCCCTTTCAGTCGATTCACTCTTTACGACACATAAGTATGGGATATGATGCCCCCTCTATTCACACCTTCAGGCAGATGACATGCACAGGGCCCCACCTGCACATATGTACCTTGGTCATCACAGTCATCCCTCAGTTCTTATGATTTTTACCTCACTAAGAATACTTCTGCTCTGCTGGGCTAGCTAGCTGTTGCTAATTAGCTCCGTTGTATGCTGGCTTGAAGTTAGCTTAACTGCTCCTGTTGTGTTACCCTCCACTGTGCAGTTAGTGCATAGACTGCCTGTGGAACGCTAATTTTGAGTTACTGTGCAGTGTTTTTCTCTGCATTTTGGAATGGATACCAAACTGAAGCGAGCAAAGCAAAACACTTCTGTTCGCCCTGGTCCTCAGGGGTGTGGTTTCTCTTTGCACTACAGCGATCAGCGCAATGCATTCCATGTCTGCCTGGGGATTGCTCACGCTAGGAGCTAAGCCTGTGTGTTTTGTCGCCAGCTCTGTCGCTTGACCCTGGAAAGACAGGTGAAGTTTGTGGAAAAAGTGCTGGGACGGACAACTGTCGCACACACTACCCTCTCCTCTCTAAGTCTAGGCCCCTGGCTTCGATTAGCTGGGCTGACCTCATGGAATATGTTGATGGGGGTTAACCGAAGACGAGCCGAAACCATGCAGGAGCGCTGACCAAGCCCGTGCTCCCCATGCTTGGTCAGCGCTCCTGCATGGTCCCCATAAGTTCAGCTCGACTCAACTCATTTTGGTTTTTGTGGGTGTTTTCATTAGCAGGTAGTACCTGGTACCAGGTGGTTTTTTATTTTAGTTCTTGCTTGGCTAGGGCTTCCAAGTGACCTGAGTAAGTACAAAAATGTGATGTCTACAGACTGCATGCCATCAGTTGGCCAGTCACTCAATGAGTCATGAGATTGACTCCTTTACTCCTTCAAAACCGCCATTTAAAAAAAAAAACAAAAACAAAAAAAAACAGCAACGGAGTAAATGGGTGCACAAAAAGTCTGACAAAAAGGCATACACCTGCAGCAGGTATACCACCGACGTTCCCCATTGTTGTGCTAAAAAAAGAAAGAATAAAATTGTTTTTTGTATTTACTCATGTGTAGGTAAGATTTTATAGAGGGGGTTTTATTATCCATGATTGTATTTTAATATTACTGTAAAATTGGTGATTTTATTTTTAGTCCCCAGTTATCTATAACCACAAACCCTGAAGTAGGGCCAGTAATGCCAAACAGGCATAAATATGGAAGTCAGTCCAGCAGTATTACAGATGTGTTCCTCCCCAACCAAGAACATCTGTTTCAGTGGCAGAAAAGACATAGAGGAAGTTGTGAGTGTTTTGACTATAGTGTATGAGGGAGGCAGGGCTATGCAAGAGGGAGCGCAAGAGGGTGAGGAAGCAGGGGGAGGGGTTTGTTTATTTCAGTTTTTTTTTGTTTTTTTTAAATGGTAACTGCGCCTCCTGAGCCCATGGGGGGGGGGAGGCAGGAAGACGGAGATAGAAAAAGAGGAGAGAGAGGGTGACTGAGAGAAGAACAGGAATGATGGAGAACGTGGGACGCTCGTTAGCAATATGAGCAGCGGCCGAGACACCGGAGACAAACGCGGCGAAGGAGAGAAGGATGGAGAGACGCACGGGCGGATAGAGGCAGAGCGTGTGTCGGTCCTCCGCTCGTCGCCCAAACAATGAACGTGCTGTGGTCGCTGCCGGCAACACATCGTCACGGCAACCGGAGCCAGAGGGGTGCGCGCTGAGTGAGAATAACAGAGAGGAGAGAAAGAGGAGGAGGTGGAGAAGGGGGTGTGGGGGGTGGAGAGGGATAGAAAGAAAGATGGTGTCTTCCCCCAATAGTCAGTGTGCGAGTCTTTACATGGCTCCTCTCTGCGCTTGATCATGTGTGTCTGTGTGTGGTTGATGTGTGTTACTGGCCAGTTGTCTGACACCATGATCTTCTGTAACCATCTAGGTGAATACAAGAAGGATGAGCTGCTGGAGGCGGCAAGGTGAGTACCAGAGTCTGCATGCTCTTCTTTGTTTTCATTTTTGTCATGCTCCCTCTCCTGCTTTCTTGCCTCTTTAAGCCTCCCTCTCATCTCTTGTTCCCCAGCTTACTTTCTTCTCAGCTTGACTCGCTGCTGTGGTTTCCCGTACCCATTTCTACTCTTCATGTATCTCCTTTCGCCCTCCACGTCTGATACCCTTTATTTTATTTCTCTGTTGTTGTTGTTGTTGTTTTTTTTCATCCTCCACACTCGTTTGTTGTGTCCCATCAGAGTTCTCTTATTTCTGATTTCCTGCATGTTCCTGTCACTCATGCTCTTCTCTTCTCTTCTCTTCTCTTCTGTTTACTTGCCTCCTGATTTTTTTTTCTTTTCTTTGCTTCCTATTTGTCAAACCGTTTATCACTTGAGCCTCTTTTTTTTTTTCTTCTCCCCATGCACACACACTCAGCTCCCACACTAGACAGGTTTTTCAGATATAGAAAGCTCAGTACTTTTGAGCCAGTGACACTTGTGCATTTTGGAGGCATGTTATGGTTGCAGGCAGTGCATGTGGGCTGTGAGTGTGTGTGTGTGCACTTGTGTGTGTCTGCCTGTTTCCATCTCTGGGCATGTGGAAGTGGAAAAGCTTTCATTTAGGATTGCGTGTGGGTGGCTGATCGCTCCAGTAGACCCCCTCCTGTCTCCCGCTCTTCCAGCCATGCACAGATGCACGCGCACATGCACACACACACACACAATCATAAGGCAGCAGCTGGCCCAGTATAGCATTACCACTGTATTATGGGGTCAGTAGGCTGTTTAAGTGTGAACTGTGATCCCACTGTGGCGCCCTCACAGCTGAGCCACTGACTGGCTTATCACACATGTAATTTTCCAGAATGTTTTTATTTTTTCTTGGTGTGTGTGCGTGCGTGTGCGTGTGCGTGTGTGTGTGTGTGTGTGTGTGAGCGTGTGCGAGCAAAAGAAAAAAATTTTTTTATTTCTCTTCTTTTGTTTTTAACCTTTTCATTTATGGGCCGGATAGCTTTCTTGAGGAGTGCAGTGGCTCAATACATTCTTAATGTATGTGACGGCAAATATTAGACAAGGCAGCTGATGCAGAAAGATGTCTGCCCAGTGAGGCAAATCTGTCCCTTTAAGGCCATCAGTCAGCTGACAAGAAACTCTGTGGTGATCTGTAAAATGGTATCTGATGATGATGGTGATGCTACTTGGAGGGAAACAATAAGTGTCACTCCTCACCTCGTTGGCACTACAGGCAAAACAGGAAATTCTCCTTTTCAGCAGTTGTGCCAAAATCTTATTTTCACTGATCAATAGCTCAATCATACCCACCGATCAGCTGCATTACATGTAGCATGCCACCTTAGAAAAATCAGGAGGTGTACTAGTTGCCAAAACAACCAGCACCTGTGATGTTACTTTGGCACACACCATATTGCAAAAACAACCACAACGATAAACTGTTTGTAACCCTGCTAGCTTCTTGTAGCTAATAGGCAACAACTGTACTACTATAAGGTTTTAATGGTGGAGCTTACGTGCTTTAAACATACAGATTAAGTGCATTGGAACCTTTTTAACAGGATGAAAGTTGGATGTAAGTTGCAGGTGGGCTGTTGCTTTAGTCAGGGCTGTGAGTGTAAAAGAACTGCATTTCTGAAAACATTAAGAGACATAGCCATTAATCAACTTAAATGGTTTGAGAAATTTATTGGCTTATTCTTTTTTTATTTTTGCAGTCAGCTGCTGGGTGTAACTTCCTGATAGTGGCAAGAAAGCAGCGTAACATATTTCAGAAAATAGTGAGATATTCCTTCAAGTTTTGACTAATTTCAGATAATATTCATGGCCACAGTGTAAACAAATATCCAACACATCATGCATCAAAAAGGAAGTCTCTCTTGTATTTGCTAACAGTCCTTGGAAAAGAAATAGAAGGAAAAAGGGGAAGCCACTGCATACTGGAACTAGAGGTGGACAGGAAAAATTGCAGAAGAAGAGAGCAGGAGGAAAATAGAGGAGATAACTATGAGGAGGGGAGAACTAAGAGATGGGAGGTAATGGTGGTTGGAATGGGGTGAAAAGCAGCTACGAGAGTGAGGAAACATGGAAACTTCACTCTGGGAGAAGGACTGGATGTGAATGTTTGTTTGTTTTTTGTTTGTTTGTTTTTTTAAATAGAGTATGAAAAATATAGACACAAAGAGAAGGAAGGAGAGGTCCAATCAAAGAAGGGATAAAAGAATTAAAGAGGAACATGGAAGAATGGGACAGTAATCCTTTTTTTAAACCAACTGACAGCTTCTTATTTTATGGCTGTCGGGGTGGATGGTAGTTGGATTGGCTGCTGCCTTGGCATCACTTCCTGGTGGTCATCCAATGTCAGGCCAGTCAGTCCAAGAACCAGGAAACACAGATCAGCAGTACAGACAAAATCTTAATTCCTCTTTAGCTAGGTGGCCAAAGAGGCATCTCTAATTGATTTTCATGGCATATTGCACTCAATTGTACAGGAAAACACTAGTCCATCTAGCATCGGTCCATCCTCCAAACATTTCCTCTGCCAGTACGTTTTTGCAGATCAAATTTCTCAGGCTTTTTGCCTCAATCTCAAGCTTCTTATCTAATTTTCCCTCATTTTCTCTCCTCCATACTGCTGCAGAGCAACGGTGCTAATCCTCTGTGGTGGCAGTGATTGTTTTCTGTCTAACGTTTGTGTGTTTATGTATGTGTGTGTGCATTTGCAGGAGTGGAAACGAGGAGAAGCTAATGGCCTTGCTTACGCCGCTCAACGTCAACTGCCATGCGAGCGACGGCCGCAAGGTAAGAGTAAAGCGTGTATGCACAAAAGCGTATCCACCCACACAGAGTCGAGCAATAATAAGCTCATCACTCATTTCCTGAGTGACTGAGCAACTCGGAGGGGTTTTAGGGGTACAAAACCAACCAACTGGTGGTTTTATTTTATTATTTCGCCCAGAAAAGTTAAACAAATGCTGGTATTGGCTGCTGTGGGCCTTGGCTTTATGAAATAATTCTAGCACTCACCAGCAGGCTTAGCCTTTCTCGGCTGTCAGTCAATAAAATGAATAGATGAAGACACAAAACCTTCCGTGAATAAATTAGTACCCGTGCTGAACAATAGCAGAGGATGGCAGGACGCACAGTACTGTCACACTCAGGGATACGGTCTCTGAAACAAAGGTACAGTTGTTTTTTTTTCCTTCTTTTACAGCTGATTGAAGTATATGCAAATTGTGAAGTTACCCCCCCAATAGCATACTTGTATTTGAATGTCTGCACTACTGCAGTTGCATGTACATGGATTAGCTTTGAATAGTAAGAAGAGTGAAGAATGGATTCAGGTGTGTTCATTGATAGTAATGAAAATGACACAGTTCCCATCCTATTCCTCATTCAAAGCAAATTATTTTGTGCAAAATGAGCCGAGGCTTTGAAGGACACACAGTTAAGGGTAACCTTTAACACGAAGGTATTTATATAAAAGATTAAATAGTAAAGCTAAAGTTGCAGGTATGATTTATTAAGAGTTATAGGCTTAAAAACCCAGCTTATCTGCTCCATAAGGCCTGTAAAGATGTAGTGTGATTGACAGAATGGCTAGCAACATGCTTGAACGACCTCTGAGCAGCCTTTTTGATAATAACATTGATAATTCTGACTGGCTGTGGAGAAATTTGTGAGAACTTGAAACCAGTGAGAGATGCCCAGACAGAAATCTTTCACATAAAATATCTATAAGTGGCAAACCTTGGCAGAACTTTTGAGTACTCTTCACTCAGAAATATAAGGTGACTAAGATTGTTCAGCCTTGACAGAGCTTTGCAATCTCTTCACAACCTTCATGGTCAAGTTGTTGTCTTGTAGTTTCTGTATAATGCTCAGTTTTGTATTATAAAAATCGTCTTCAAAAATTCCTGAATCCACATCTACATCCAGATCGACTCGAAAAATCACTTGTTTGGCCAAGGCACCATCTCTGGTAAGATTTTCACTCCGGTCTCTTTGTAACCTTCAGTAATCATTCTAACAAACAGACAAACTGAACCAGTCATATAACCTTGTTGGCAGAGGCAACAAGCAAATCTGTCCGTTGTCATGTGGAGTTCAAGCCCTTGATGAGATGCCCAGTTTGTAAGACACTGTAGGTACAGTAGCTTGAGTCTAAAATGCAAGTCATGTGAAGGGATGAATAGAGTCCCTCCTTTTAAAGACATTTTAGAGACATTAAATTAAATTTGTGAAATTAGCTTTGATTTAAATTAATGGTCATCTTGGAACAGTTCTCCGAACATGTCCAAGGGAGAGTAAAGGAAAGCCCTGTTAATTAGGAGGCACCCAAGTGTGGGCTCATTTCCAGTGCTGTCAGATGCAAAACTCAACATACTGAAAGCTGCTTAGTGAATTGGAAGCACAGTTTACAACTTTTCCCATAATGGTCATATGGAGGGTATATTGCAGAGTTCCTTAGGGTCCTAAAATTGAGTCTAAAATGCTATCAATCGTCTAAAGTTTAAGCCTTTAAAATGTCTCATTTGACGGGTCATAAAAATGTATTGAATTTTGGAAGCTAATGTTGTAGAGAGTTGATTGCACATTCAGTCTTTTAAATGTTATTGTAATGATTACACTAAAAAAAAAATAGCAATATGGATGCAATAACGACGAATAAAAGTTGCGTGGCTTAGTCAGAACCTGCTGTAGTTTTTGTGTCAGAATCTGGTGTGTGGGCTGGCTCAATATCTCCTCCCATAAAACAAAAATAGCAACTTTTCATCAAAAAAAGGATTAAAAAAGTTAAAAATCTTCTTGTTATGAGAGCATTCAACAAGAACAGTTGGAAAAACCCAGTTTGCAAACTTTTGCAAAAAAAAAAAAGAAACAGAGTTACTGTCAACAAGTCAGAAAGACGTGAAGTGGACAAAAGATGCCGCCGATGTTTCCCATCGCCCAATAATGTTCTATATTTACATTAGGACCATTACCAAGTGCAACCCATGTATAACTCACTCTGTAGCAACAATTTTAACTCTTATATCTTTCTTTGGGGACAATGTTTGAACACTAACAGGAAGATCAGGGATGTTCTGGACTTGGGACATGATGGCTTAACACCAGTCAAAGAAAAACAGTGCTGATAGATGTCAACTGCTTTAACTCTTTCCCCCATAAAGATAAGACATTATTACAGAAACTACTCAGTTTGGAAAAGAGCTTCAATATACTCCTAGTAGGGCTAATGAGTTAAACCATGCCGACCAATTGTGACTAGACAAATTCATTTGTTTACTCTTCAAGCCTCTTTGGGACTCCATTTTCCTTTTCTTACAACTATAGATGTGAATTAGGACTTCAATAACATTCATAATGGTCTAAAGTAAACTTTCGGAAACCCTAATTATAATTAGACCTTTTACTTAGTTGAATAATGCTACAGTTGACTAATAATAATAAAAGTGAGATGAGACTGTAGCAGTCAGCTAAGGTTGCAGTTTGAAGTTAATTCTGATCTCATTAGCTTGCAGAGGATAAAGTGAGAACTTAGAACTTGAAAGAATGCCAGCCACGCTAAATGAAATGCCAGGTACAACACCAAAAGTACACAGCCCTACAGAGAAAAGTGCTGTATTATATCCTGTTAACTTAATGGAGAAACTTTTGTGACTACAGCCTCACCGCATGCGTCCGCAGGGAGCCCTGAGCCTAAGGTTGAGCTCTGCTGCATTGCAGCAGCACATCTGGCTTATGACTGATTAGTCCCTCGGATGAATAACTGGAAGGAGAAGCAAACTACTCTTTTAGTTTTGTATTTTTGTAGCTTTAGTTGAAGTACTCCCTCTGGCCTTGCACATTACTGTTTTCCAGCCTGACAGAAATAAAACCTTGTTTTTTCCTTGAGAACAGAGTAAGACAGTTCCACTTTTCAGCAGCGAGTGTCCAAACAGTTTTGTGGTCCCACTTGAGCCCTTATCGAGTCTCTCTTGGGTTTTTTACTCTGAACTGTTATTCTTCTCAGCGGAGAAGAGACTGAGAGTTTAGATTTTCATATTAAACTAAACCCTAAACCCAAAAGTTTGTGCTTGTTGTATGTCAGATTATGTTAGAAGCTCATCTTGTGACAAGCCACGGTTTTCAATAACAGTAAAGTACTGGCTGCTAGATTACCAAGGTTTTAACTGTTATTTTACAATTTTCCTTTAAACAAGAACAACAGCTTCTTAATGTAAAGTACTGCAGTGGAGTATAATACTGTTATCTGTTGGTTTCTTTGGTTTTCTTACTGTAATCTCCATAAACATGACAATAAAATGTATTAAAATAAGTTAGATCTATAGCTGCAAAAACAAAAACAAGGTAAACCAGGTGGCAATCTCCATGTTCTTATTAATTTACACTGAATTCAATCCTTTATTTTCTTTTACTATTAGCTTTTATCTAAGGATGTAACAGTACCAGAAATGTAGTAGTTGGTGCTTATACGATGTTATAGGACCTTAGCCTTCAGTATCTGGGCTGCCTGCTCAACCAAGTGGGAGCCTTATGTTTTTATTTTATCTCCAGTACCACTAGAAGAGCAGTTTAGCAAGATTTTGAGTTCAAAATAACCGTTCTTTACTTTGTACTGGGCTCATTTTATCGTCTCTACTGTCTTTCCCATTACCCTCAAAAAAACAAAAAATGAGCAGTAGGTTGTTGCTACTGTTGTGCACACTGTTTACCTGAGATGACCATATTAGGCATATGTGGGGATATGCTCTGTATACAGAGCCAGACTCATTTGAAACTTTGCTCATGTTCATGTACATCAAATATTGTAACCGTATATATAAAAGAAAATGAGGAAAATCCAAACAGGTCTACTTTAATCCATTTAGGTCCATTCACTCCTTATCATAAGAGTGTCCTCGATATGAATTGCACTCAGTTTAGTACAGTAGGGCTAATAGGAAATGATCATTCTCCCCTCAAAATGATCGATTTATGGAGAATTGTCCATAAATCGATCAACTATGTCCTCTGATTACACAGCATACGTTTGAATTTCTTTGCAGTGCGTGCTAAATGAGTGATGATAGGGACTGAAGATGGATTATAAGCAGACTGAAGGCACAGAGTTGAAACATGAGTGGGACTCAACATGGCACCATACAATGAAATGTTATAGCAGCTTGCTGTTACTATTTTTCTCCCTTGAGGCATCAACATGCTCAGTGTGTAGCACTATTCAGAAAAATCAGTACATTCCCTTTATTTTTTTTAAAGCATTTTTTTTTTACATTTCGAGTTTTAACTTAGTGATCTGGTTATATATTTTTTTCAGTAAACAGATATCTGCAATTTATTGGTCACCGATGCAAAACGTGCAGTACATTATTGGTTGCTATGGCAACTGCTGGGACAACCAGGGAGCCAAAGAGATCCTTTCACCCTATACTTTTGGTAACTGTCATATTAATGCTACAACAGCCTTGAGGAGGCTCTTTCCTCTAATTATGGGTACTTGGGTGTGTTGTTGATGATACTCAGCTGCAGCTTGTATTCATCACATCACTCCCGTATCCGTAATTGTGAGAGAGCATCCTCTAGCTATTATCTGTGCAGGTGGCCTGCTGGGGATGTGAGACCCCAGAGGGAAAACCGTATAATTCGAAATTCTTTGGATATGCAGGGGACAACTGCAACAGATCATTGAGGGACGCCGAAATTTAATGGAGCATGAGTATAGAAACATGCAGCCTCATCCAGAGAATAAAAATTATGTTCAGACAGATACTGAAATGACCTCTTCTACTTAATCTGTA